AGAGAAAGAGAAAGAAAGAAAGAAAAAGAAAGAAAGAAAGAAAGAAAGAAAGAAAAAGAAAGAAGGGGAGGAAGGGAGAAAGAAGGGGAGGAAGGGAGACAAAGAGGGAGAGAGAGGGAGGGAGGGAGGAAGGAAGAGAGAAAAAAAATGTTTAGACTCTCAGGGCAACTGCATACAGTGAATTAGTGTTTTAGAAACAATCACAGATACAATGTAGAAAAGCCCAAATAATTCCAAAATATACTTTCTTTTAAGCCTTCGGATTTGTTAGAAAATATATTCCCATCTAAATGAGCAATTCTCTAAATATTTTATATGCTGAATTCTTATTAAATGTGCTCAATTGTAATGTGTTTAATTTTTTATACCACTTAAAAATGGTTTAACCTTAAGAGCACTAAAGGCATTTTGTATTTTGTATAATTTTAGAGGATATAGTAGGGTTTGCATATAAAACTTAGATTTACCTAGCACATTTTTAAATGGTATAACAACATATTTTGCCAGTTTTAAAGAATTATAGTTCAGAAATCAAACCTTAAAAACATATTTTATCATAATATTTTGAAATGAAAAAATTGGAAGAAAATTATATACTGTTTGTAATTTGCAAGTGCATAATGTTTAAGCTACCAACTTGGTTTTAACTTAGCTACAAATTTCAAGTATATTTCATAAGACTTAATGAAAACTTAAGCAGAACTTCTATGTTAATTATTTTTATTGAGTTAAAATGAAGAGTCTAAAATACTGTGTTTTTTTTTTCTTTCTTTCCAGTTTTTACACTCTCTTATGATAACATTTAATGGTCCTTCTGGTATTCTTAGCTCATTAACTAGTGTGATGAACATTACTATTATTTGCCAGATGCTTAGTCTCTATAGAAAAGAATGGGGTTTTCAAGATTTTTTTCTGTCTGATTTAGTCCTTTGTATTTCATTGAAAGGTCAAAGCTGTACAGAATAAAAAATATGTATCAAAATCTCTCCTTTCACTTTTATGAGAAATCAATTTGTAGTATAAGAAAGATAGAATCCTATAGTATTTTGAATGGGAAAGTAAGATAAATGTAGATCATTTTAATTTTAAATGTCCTTAATATTAAACAACCAGTTGTTTATGTAAAACAATTCATTCACAATAATCAACTATCTTCAAGTAACTGTTTTCTATTTAAGGGCAACAGTTTTATACAATGAGAAATCTAATACCATTTAAATGCAACATGATGGGCTTCATATATGTACCAGAGGTGTTCAGTGAATTCTGAAACATAATTTAAATCCTTACGTTTGTGTATGAATAAGTATGCTTATATATTCATAGCTTTCCATATTTAGCAGTGCTGATTTTAAGAGTTCCAAAAAAATAGAAGAGAAAATGAATTGCACATTTGACTTCCAAAAATATCTGAACTTGCCACTTATGAGATCTTTAATTCTTGAAAATTTGTGGGAGTATTTATTTTCATTAAAACAAATTCACTTTGATTTCATATTTAAATGAACTAAAGTCTTAGATTAGTAATAGTTTTCTAAGGTAGATAGTTTCTAGAAAGTTAATTAAACAAGATGGTTTCTACTCTGTAGCTGTACATACACATAGGAAAGCATTTCAGGATCCTGCCACACTCAGTCCTTTAGTGCAGTCTTCATTTTTCTTGATTCAGAGTGCTATAGCCCTATATCTCAAATATAGCTGAGAGTAGCCAACTCATCCCAGTTTGCCTCAGACTTTCTGATAAAATGAAGATCCCATGTCCTAGGAAATCCCTTAGCCCCAGACAAACCGGGACAGCTGGTAAACCCACTGGAAGACAACCTAAACTTTGAAACTTTGAGATAAAAAGGGCCTTACCTTAACATCATTGGTGTTCATTCTTGTTCCCTCCTTTCCCACAAAAATATCATCAATATCCACAAGAATGTACCTGTCCAAGGACAGTGTCAGCCTCTTTCCTGACAAGAAGGAAACCGCGTCTATGAAGATGAGCTTATGCAACCAAAAGTTCAAGTTGTTGCCAAAAAAAACTCTTTGAATTCCATCATGAAGCCCCAAGTCGTGTATGACAGTGGCATAAAAAGCACCTTTAGAGATGGGAGGAGAAAGGTTCTCTGGGGTCTTTACTTTGGCAAATATTACTGGTTGGTAGGCTGAGTGATTAATCTGGAAAACTGTCCAGTCAGTTCCAGGTAAAGAACCTTTTTCAAGCTTGGAAGATTTGGTCACATGAAGCAATGGAGAATGAGGATTAATACAACAATCTTTTACCGCAAGGTTTCCGTATATGGAGAAAGGGAAACCTTTCAACTGAAAGCTCTGTAGACTCTTCTCGCTAGTTTTGTGGAATCCAATGACACCCACACCATATTCCACACAGTATTTATCTAAAAGGCTTCGGTTCCAAGAGTCCATGTTTATATACTTTAATATATTCTCATAAATAACGAGAATATATTTGCCTTTAGTTTTTTCTATAAGTGCTGGGAGATCCCCCTTTCCAGGAGCAATTTCAATGTGATACTGGAACCTACTGGATTCTAGAACCATAATTATGTCTTGACCAAGCGATGAGTATTGGCTCTCCACAAACACCAGGACTGTGGGGTCTGTCCTCGAGGCATCAGAAAGCTTCATTGTCTTGACTTCCATAAGCCTGTATGGTAGGTGTTGGAAATCCGCACAGTCCACTTCGGACATCATCTCGGAGGGTTCATTTTCCTGTTTGTAGCCACTGTACAGGTAGTATGCAGAAATAATAATGCTCACCATACAAAATGTGGTGAGCAGAATAACCGTCCTTTGAAAGTGTCTGTGAAGCTTCATGATAAAACTCATGTTGCATATACTTCCCTCAGACTGTTCCAATTGAAGCACCATAAAAAAGGAAGAAGAAAAGAAAAGATGGTGTTCAGCTACTTTTCCAGTCTCCGTCAATAGTTTATGTCACCATTGCAGCGCATTTGTTGCACTGGATCAGGACTCACAGAAAATACAGTCTGAAAAGTAGAATAAAATAGAACAGACTATCAAACGTTCATTCTGCGGCATTAAGACGAACAAGTTTTTTCCTGCTGATTGACATGAGTAGCAACCTGTTAGGCAGATGAACGGGTGTATGGTCTGTCAGAAAGCCTCTTTTTCCTCCTGCCAGGTCTGGATGAGGACGTGGGAGGGAAAGAAATGGGGAAAAGGGCTCCATATAACAGAGGCTCTCTATCCTTCATGTAGAAAATACATTGGGCTAACCAGAAATTTCCTTTTATTCACCAAGCTTTGCATCAAACTCTGTAGATATTGTATACCTAAGACCACAGAGAGGTCACCTGAGCCATGTACTGCCCTATCATGTAATGCATACACGATGCATATGTGTTTAACTACATATATCGAACATTCATAAAAGTCTGGACATGTTTCATTAGGTGCTATAGTTAAGACACTAGTTTCTGCTGTTTGGAAAAGAGCACAGTAATGACATGAAAAAAGTACTATAAAAATTTTTTTTTAAGAAAAACAATGAAAATACTTCATGAAACACCTTGTCATGGTATAGTTTCAAATCCCTTTCAAGACTTACTAATCTTAGAAAAATTTAGTAGCTTTTGAAAGACAATAAGAAAGAAACCTGAGTGCTTCTTAGAGCAGAAGTTTATTAGAGTCTTACGGTCCTGGCACTTTTCAAGGAAATATGGAATATAAAAGAATTAAGGAAGGTCTTGTTATTGTCCACAAGGCAGGCTGAAAGGGGTGACTGAATCTCTACCTCTTATTAACTGTGTCACTTTGGCCCCAGTACCTTTTAAGTAAAACGATGAGGTTAGAATAAACAATCACCAAGAACATTCTGGCTCTAAAATTCTGTGATATTCACCTATGAAATAAGGAATGAACAATATTTTGAATAAGATATGTTTATCTTTATGAATAATACATTCTGGCATATAACTGCAGGATATTTACAGACTAGGATTCTTATAAATAGGATATTTATCCTGTAAATTGTCTATTGTAATTATTTGTTCAAATATTTAGGGCATCTATATCATTGATTCAAGTATTTATGGGGTGACTATCTTTCTATTTTAAATATAAATGGTCAACAGAGTGAATTTCCTTAAGGGGTCCAAAACTATAAAGTAGAAACAGTGACTAGCATCACAATAATAGATGGTTGTTGAGTAGAGACAAATGCCTCTAATGAGATGAGAGAAGCGACCATGGCAAGTAGGGAAGCCTGCAATACTCCAGGGGGATGTAGAATCTGGGCAGAGCCCTGAAGGTGAGGGTGATGTGAGTAGGCATGTGAGATGAAGGGAATTTATAGAGGCAGGGGTGAGCACAATATTGGGCAAGGAACACTCTGATGAAGAATGGAAGGCAAGGGGATGAAGTCCCTCCAAAAATACATTGTAAAAAGTATGGGTACCTTAGATTATGGAGAGATTTGATAGCATACAAGTTCACGGTTGAGAAAACCCATTGGGAGCCCTTCTACTTTTCTGCTTTGGGGAATAGCATGGTAAGGGTGAGATTTTTCAGGAAAATGAACTAACCAATAACGTGAAAGATATCCTAGAGCATTGTTTGAGAGTCAAGGCTGGCAAGCTGAGGCAGGCTCATTTCTCACAATCTGGTCATAAAAACCGTTAGTGATCATAGGTCAGGGAGAATGTGGGAAGGGGCAAGTCTGAGGGACACTGCAAAGAAAGGAGGAAGAGAACTTGGGTTTGGCATGGGGGGGGGGTCTGTGGTACACCACCACTCTGCCAAATAAAACGGCATCAAGTGACCTGGCGTGCTTGAAAATCAATCTAATATAAAGGATAACATTCTACTCTTTTAAACATTCAAGCCTAGATGTAGGTGCAATTTAAGCAAATCAAAATTACCAGGACAATGCAGAGTTTCCACTGTAATTGTAGTTATTTCATTTTGAAAAGTAATTGCACTTTAAAAGTTATGTACATGTTTATGAATAATATAATAGTCTGGAGCATAATAGCAGGATATAAAATCTCCTATCTTTCTATGCCTCTGTTTCAATTTTAGCTGTGAAGTGTTTTTGACTGGCTACAAAATGTATTACCACATTTTGCATTTCAGATAGCAGTGTTTCATCGTTTGTTCTTATTGTCAGAAGTGAAAGGCATGTAACTCATACTAATCTTATCTGTGATGAGGCAAAGTGGTGAGGAGTACTTGCTCTCACTATTTAGGATGGATATTAGGAACCTATTAAAGCTACCTTCTCCAATACCTGGTATAAAATACTGAAAGACCTCTCTTTTCTATTAAACTCTTCAAGTTTCCTCTTGAAGCCAAGGGAATTCCAGTGTAGGTCTCCGAGGGTAGGATTTGGTCTAAGATATTTAAGTGGACACATTAAGATTCTCTAAGTTTTCTTTAAACTTTTTTTGACGGCACACTTTGCTGTGGCCAAATTTGGTCCCTGGTATAGACTCTCAAAAGTTACTGTTCCTACGGCAACCTCATCCACCATCAACTACTTCCCATTCGCTGTATGTCTGTTGGCTCTGAAAATCTCAGAATGCAGTGAACTGTTGCTGTCCCTCCTTCCATGTGGGATGCCACTAGAGCAGCTTTTCCTGAGCCCTGCACTGGTGGGGATCACTAGGAAGACAGGTACATGTGGAAAATTAAGCTCCTCCGCACAGTTCCCCTGTGAAACCTTCTCAGATAGAGCTGACCTTCCAAACGGGGTAAGACCAGCAGTGACACACAACCATGATTATCTTCTTTGTAATTCTTGACACTATTATAATTAAAATTTTGTTTATTGTCCATCTGTCAGTCTCTCTTATCCAACTGTAAAACACTCTAAGAGGGTAGAGATAAGGCCTCTATCATTGAGCCCCTAGTGCCAGGCACAGAGTAAGCACCCAATAACTGTGGAATTAGTCAAATAAAATGGCATATTAACCTTACAGGCTAATTTGACACTTCTACTTTTTTCTAATGTCATAACTTTTTTTCAGGTCATATATCACTATTAATATGATTATAATTACCTATACATTAGCTGGATTTAATATCTCTGTTTTACCTAATACTAAGAAAATATAATCATGCCATCCTAACATAGGATAAAAGAAGCCACTATGGTAGATATTAAATCTTCACCCGCCCAAAGATTCCTATCAAATAATCATTCTGCCATTAGTCATTAGGTATTTGTTGAACACCCAGTTTGGGTTTAGGGCTGTATTAGGTGCAGGGGACACCACAGAGGTAATATTAAGAGTGATTCTTGTCTTCAGAAGCAAGGTCTCTGTTGGGGGAAATGACTTGTGAAACAATAGCCAACACCATATGGTTGGTTCATGCTGTACAGACTATATTTGTTACAAGTTTCAAAACCAAGATTAATGATTAATTAAAGATTAATGAAATTTAGGAAAGCAGTTTCTAAGAGGCGTAGTGCTTGAGGGGGACATGACATGATGGGCAAGATTTGGATATGAGGGCGGGATGAAGATGTTAGGCAAAAATACCTGGCAAGGGTGGTGCCTGGCTGGCTCAGTCGGGAGAGCATGTGACTTGATCTTGGGGTTGTGAGTTCAAGCCCCACGCTGGGGGGAGAGCTTACTTAAAATACTTGGCAAGGTTGAAGAAATGAAATGGTTACAATATGTTTATCTGAGAGTGAGACCAAACTAATATGATACTATGTGTTGGGTTGAAAATGGAAATCATATGTCATTCAAGGAGTCCTGCAGATTAATGAATGTCCTTGGAAGTGACTGTGAAGCACAAAGTGTGGACTTGGAAACAGACAGCATTAGATGAATCTGAACAGAAGAGAGACAATAAAAATCACATTTACAGGTGCTTAGTGTAGCAGTGGCACCCAGAATGGGCACACAGCAGTCATATGAACAGAGACAGTAGATGCTACATTGTACGGAGTGAAGAAGGAGGTGGAGTCGGGACAGTCCCACTTAAGGGGCTGCTGCACAATCCAGGTGGGGAGTGGTGTGAGGCCAGACCAAGGTGGTTATCAGGGGGAATAAAAATTAAGAGAGACAGGAGAAAAACAAAAAGGAAACGATTACTGATAAATTATGCTTGGGGACAGAAGAATAAAAGTGCCGGTATTAGAAACGCACAAGCTTAGAGTGGAAATTGGCTTGAGCTAATGATGTTCACCTAAGGTTCAGACAGGTGACTAAATGATGGCAAAATCACAATGTTCTCTAAAATAGTTGGATGTTGATGAATAAAAAAAGACAAGGAAACATTTGAAATCAATGGGTCATAGGCAAATCTGGATAGGCTACACAAATTCAATTCCTCAGGAAAGCCTTTTCTGACCAATTTACTCCTCCCCCTTTAGACCAGAGCCCCAGATGATGTAATCTAATTATAATTACATTTTATTTCAGGCTTTTATCACAACTCTTACTGTTATTAGCAACATTATTTGTTTAATGTCTCTCTTTCTGTTAGACTGAAATTTCCAAGGGTATAGGGTGTATGTCATTCCCAGTAATCTTTCAAACAAGAAACAGGATAAAAACATTTTTAAAGGCTAACAAGAGCAACAGGCAAAAACACTTCAGTATAGTGATTATTGTATTCTTTTTTTTAAAGATTTTATTTATTTTGAGAGAGAGAGAGCACAAGCAGAGGGAGCGGCAGGCAGAGGGAGAAGCAGGCTCCCCGCCGAGCAGGGAGCCCGATGAGGGGCTCGATCCCAGGACCCTGGGATCATGGTCTGAGCCGAAGGCAGACGCCCAACTGACTGAGCCACCCAGGCGCCCGATGATTGTATTCTTGAAGTGCTCTCACAAAAATACATCGAAAATTATAGACTTTTGCAGGGTCTGAAGAATTCTCTGAATGACTAAAGAATAGGCACACTAGCCTGCATGTCAGAGAGTTTCCAGGGACATGACTGTCTTTACTGCAAGCAGGGAGTTGACAGCCGTGGAATATGATGAGGAATATGCTGAGGAATATGCTGAATGACCAAGGA